ATAAATAAATAAATAAATAAATAAATAAATAAATAAATAAATAAATAGTTCAGGCCAGCTGGGCTTGGTGGTGCACCACTGTAGTTCCAGCACTCGAGGAGGCAGAGGCAGGCAGATCTGTGAGTTTGAGGCCACCCTCGGGTACCTGAGACACTATCTCTAAAATGGAAAATCAGTTTTGAAGGCTGGGAGTGAGGCTTAGTTGGTTAGAGTACTTGGCCAGCATGGTCCCAGTTTCAGCCTTCAACACCACATAAACCCAGACACGACAGAGCAACAGTTCTCACCCTTCCTAATGCTGCAACCCTCTGACAGTTTCTCGTGTGGTGACCCCAACCAATGAACTGTTTTCACTGCTATTTCATAACTGTAATTTTGCTACTGTTAGGAATTGTAACGGAAACATCTGTGTTTTCCAATGGTCTTAGGAGACCCCCTCTGAAAGGGACTCCTGGAGGGGTCGCGACCCACAAGTTGAGAATCACTGAGGAGCATGCCTCTAATCCTAGCACTTGGAAGATGGAAGCAGGAGGATCAGAGTACACAGTCAGGCTCAGCTACATAGCAAATTTGGGCCAGCCTGGATAGACCCTGAAATAAGTATTTAAAAAAAAAAATGGGTTTGGAGGAGCCAATATGTGTATTGGTTACTTTTCTCTTTTCTGGGTTAAAATGCCTAATTAAAGCAACTTAAGGGTTTGAGTTGTACTTCCTGGAGGGACAGTCCAAGGCAGGAAAGTCATAGTGGCAAGAGTCGGAAGCGGCTGGTTCCTCTGTGGCCACAGGAAGCAGAACTGTTGAAGGCTTGTAAGCAGCTTGCTTTTTTATTCAGTCCAGGACCCTAGTCCATGGAATAGGGCTGCCCACAGGTCAGGTTAACTTAACCTCTGTTAACCTAATCTGCCTAATCCCTCACAGGCAAGCCCAGGGCCAGTCTAGATCCAGTTGACAGTATTAACCAAACCAAAACACTATGGAAAATATATTCACCATGTGTATGCATGCAGCATTGATAACATTTTCAGTACATTAAGAATTTATCTGTTCAGGGAGGCAGAGGCAGGCAGATCTCTGTGAGTTTGAGGACAGCCTGGTCTACAGAGGGAGTTCCAGGATAGCCACAGAAAAACCCTATCTCAAAAAAACAAAAAAGCCAAAACCAAACAAACAAAAAGTTCCCCCCCTCAAACAACAACAAAAGAAACAAACTAACCTGTTTGTCATATCCACTAGGGTAGTAGTTCTCAGTCTGTGGGTCATGACCCCTTGGCTAGAAGGGTCATTTCACAGTAGTGAAATCAAATGTTTTGCATATCAGATATCATTATTTACATTATGATTAATAACCATAGCAAAATTAGTTCTGAAGTAGCAACAAGGTAAGTTTGCGGGGAGGGAACAATATGAGAAACTGTATTAAAAAGCAGAATTTGGAAGATTGAGAACCACTGCTCTGGGGAACCCTTAAATCATGGGTAACAGTACAGTCATCTCTCCCTATCTGGGCAAGATTTGTTTAGCTCCCCGGCCCATGGGATCTACAAGTTCTCAAGTCCTTTATATAAAACTGCGTTAAAACTATATCATACTCCATACTCTGCAAATCACCTGTATCATTTAAGAGATAGAGATAAAAATCTACAACTTTGGTACAGTGCAATGTTTTTTCAGATTTTCAATCAACAGTGAATGTTGAAAAAGTGAATGTGCAACTGATGGGTATATGGTATTCCTGTTCTACAGATTTACAAAAATCAACTTTTATTGAACACATTAAAATCTGCACTTTCAGCCCGGATGTAATGCAGTGGGGGAACATGCAAAGCATGCTCTGGCACTACAGAACAAAGTTAACTCTTCCCTTGGCCTATGTTTACTTTGTTGTTTTGAGATATAAGGTCTTGCTATAGCTATATAGCCCAATCTGTCCCTGAATTTGGGACAAGCCTTTTACCACGGGCCCTCCACCCCCACCCCACCGCTAGGACTACAATAAGCATGTGTCATTACTCCCAGCTCTAGGAGTCTTGTTAAAGCTGTAGCAGAATAAATATCAGAAATGAATCCAGGCTGTTTTTGGCTGCTTTTTAAGTGAAGTGCCTTAAGCACTAGACTCAAGTCTTTTTTTTTTACGATTTATTTTTTTATTTTATGTGCATTTAGTGTGGTGTCAGATCCCTTGAAATTGGCATTACAGACAGCTGTGAACTGCCATGTGGATGCTGGGAATTGAACCCGAGTCCTTTGGAAGAGCAGACAGCACCCTTAACCACTAAGCCATCTCTCCAGCCCCTAGACTCAGTCTTAAACGGAATAGGAAAGGACTGAAGAACAGATTTTAATCCCAAGTACAGCCAGGTTCAAACCGCAGCCAATGAGTGCCTTCAGCAGTGGAAGGGATACTTAAGTACACAACATTGCTTTGAGAAGGTCTCCTGTAGCCAGTGCTATGTCCTGACCCTCCTGCTTTCACTTCCCCAAAGGCTGACTCCAGGTGTGCCCACCAAGCCACACTTTTGTGTGGAGTCTCTTTACCCCTTAGCAGTCAGCAATTGGAACAGGGGAATTACTCCTTTGCATGAACTCCTCCCCCATAACCAGTTTTCCTTGGAAAACTGTCTGTAGGGACTTGACTTGAATGAGCACGAACACTCTTAGCTCTTCTAATGGTAATCTCCAGTGCTAGATGCTAAGTTTATAGTAATTGTCAAGAATGGCCCTGAATGTCTGATCTTACCTGGGATTACAACTGTTTGCCACCATGATGGTTTCATTCAAAGTCACAGACCAAACCCAGGGCCTTGTGCATGCAGGGTAAGCATTCTACTCACTGAACTACACCTCCAGCTTTCCCAATAGTATTTTAAAAGTAGTCTGTAGGAAGGGTAATATCCAATAAATATTGTTAAAGCATTGAGGGCTGGCTCACAGTTTTTAAAGCGGCTTCTGGTGTGATCTGCCCTTTGTATAATCTGGTCTGTTGACACTGGTTAACCAGTTAGCACTCTGCACTGCTGAGGTTTGAACCCAGGGTCTCACATGCTAGGTATCTACCCCGTGGTTTCTCTCCAGCTCCTTCTTTCTTCACTCATATCCTACCTAAACACACTCAAACAAGTTCTCAACTACAGGCATCCTACTCATGACTTAATCATTTGCTTATTGCTTGTCAGGGTCTCTGTGTAGACCAGGCTGGCCTTCAACTCAGAGCTCTGCCTGCCTCTCCCAGCACTAGGATTAAAGGTGTGCCATGGCTGCCCAGCCTCATTGCTTGTCTTTAAGAAGCCCTGATAGGCCTAGTACTTGCCATGCATGTAACCCAGGCTGGCGTCAAGCTGATAGCAGCCCCTCCTGGTAGGACTGTGGGATATACCAGTTACCAATTCAAATACCATCCTTCAGAAAACTATACTCTTTGAAAACCCCATTTCTGCTGTTGACTGCTTTGTAGCTTGCAATGTGTTTATTTTTAGATTGCTCAAAGGTAGCTATTAGTGCACTCATTTTACAAATAAAATCTGAGACTCAGGAAACTGAGTCAAATCAAGACTCCAATCAGCTTGTAAGAGCTCTCACCAAGCTCACGCTGTTTATCTGGCTTGACCTCAGATCTTTTATTTCATCTTGGCTCACAGTAATTGCTTCGACTACAACTGGGCAATTACGAGACCTACATTCTACTCCCGGCTGTGGCCTTTATCTGCTAAACAAAGTTAACATGGAAGCTGCAGTTTCCTTCTAGTTTCAAAACTGGATGCTACCTTTAGGCGCAGTTCTACGTGGTTCTATATTCCTTCTATAGAAGTATGTTGTAGATTAACCCGACTTCTGCGTAAATTCTGTATTTATGCATCATCATGGTTCTACAAGAGTGCCAGCACACTGCAGTGCTACTTGAGCTCTGTCTTGGTTCACAGCCCCTTGACTTTGTTTCTGTACTGGTTTTTCCTCATCTGTGACCCACTCTGTTGGTCCTTACACGCATGTTCTAAGGTCAGTATCAAAATGTAAAGAACATAAAAACCAAATACTTGTAAAACAAAAAGGATGTTCAAAAGTCCATTGTTTCTGATGGCTGATAAAATGTCATCAAAGAAAAGTACTTCCATAAAAGTTTTATTTATCCCCACAACAACCCTGTGAGGTAGGGTGATCAGGGCATTTGAAGATGAGAAAACTAAATCTACATTACTTGTTCACGGCTATACTGCATAGTAAATAAGTAGAAATTAAATTGAGATTTTTTTTAAATGTCCACGACTTCATATTGATTCATGTGGAAATAAGTAGAGAGAATATTAACTCCCCCCTACCTTAATGCCAAAAGGACACTACCTTGAAAAATCCCATTTCAAAAGATGAAATTAGCATTTCATTGCTTATTTCTACAAAGATTTATAAAATAAAAAAATAGTGAAATATTTTAGTTAATATATATAATGGTCTCATTCAGGGACATGTCCTTCAGCTATGGAAGTGATCAGCTATTCAGAGTTCTATAAATGCAAACTCTTTAAAAAGTGTGAAAGACAAAAATGGTAAGAAGCAGTAGCCTCAATCTTCATTATTCCTCCACGTATCTTGAATAAGTTCTGTGAAATATGGTCCCAGCACTTGGAAAGAAGGAAGCAAGGAGGGAGGGAGGGAGAGAGGAAGAAGGAAGGAAGGAAGGAAGGAAGGAAGGAAGGAAGGAAGGAAGGAAGGAAGGAAGGAAGGAAGGAAGGA